CTCAGATTAGAGCTGGCTGAGTAAGTGTCTGGGTCTTTCCTATTTCCTCCCCCTTAGTGCCTAGGGTCTGCCTGGCTGTAAACCCCTACTCAGACAGTGCTTGCTAATTGAAACTAATCCCCACTGGCTGCCCAAACCTCTCCTTGCCCCAGCCTGTGAAAGTCCCCTGGGCATAAAGAAGTGTGATGACCTCAGATTGGGCCAAAGGCAATAATCAGGAGCTGCCGGCATATAGCCTGGAATAGCAGCTAGAAGTCCTCAGAGTAAGTCTGATTTAATCCCGTAATGGAATGTGATTCAGATAAGGCTTTTATCAATCCTTCCTGGGCTGTGGAACAAAAAGGCCATCCTAAAGTCATGAAAGGATGCTTTCCACTGTCCTGGGGCTGCCCAGAAGTGCCAGAAGTGTCAGACAGCCAAGCCCACTGGGAAGGTTCAGGGAAAAGGAAAGGTATCTAGGGGCATTTGACCCAGATGCTCAGGATGGGGGAAACAGAAGGGAAAGGAAGAGACTGGGCAATCCACACATTTAGGCAGAGAGGAAGTCAAACTCTAACATTTAATAACAATAATAACAGCTATTTATTAGCCACTATGCTAAGCATGCAAATGCATTATCTGGCAAAGCCCTCATAAAATGCCTATACAGTAAGGGCTATTTATCATCCTAATTACAGAAGAGGAAATCAGACTCAGGCAGGTAAGTTACCTGCCCACCATCACAAAGTTGCTGAAGTGGGAAAGCTGGGATTTACACCTAAATTCAAAGACCTCCAGCCTCACTATGGTGCTGATCATGTGCATAATCACTCTGTCCTCACACTGACTGCTTCACCCGCTAAATCTTTGTGTGCCAGGACCTCATATATTTCCCCTCTTTCTGGAAGAATTCCAAGAAGCTTCATGTAACCACAAGCTTCAGACTCCCCATTACCCAAGAAGGGAGGAAATAAAGCATAAAGCAAGGTGACTTGACCAATCAGGAGTAGAGGGACTATCACCCCCACCCCCACTGCTCAACCCCCAGAGACAGCCACACCAAAGACAAAGTGGAGCCTGGCATTCTGCCAACTGCTTTCTCTGTCACATTCCTGCTTCTACGGCCCTAGCCTCAGCCTCTCCACTCTTGCTTCTCCCCTTTTTCCTGGATCAACTTTACCTTCCAAGCTCCTACCCTACTAGTGGTCATCCAATAACATTTCAAAGTACCCACAGTTAACAATAGGGGAGTCATGAAATAATGCTTTCTACTGCCAGACAGAACATCTACAATTCAACATTAATAACAGCTAACGCTTACTGAGCACTTACTGTGTGCCAGTTACTGTTCTTTCATCTTGAGTTGGAAAATGCAGGCAGAATGAGCAAGAGTTTTTATGTCGGTTGCAAAGAGATTAAATCAGTAGGCCTTGGTGGCACACACCTGTAATCTCAGTGACTCAGGAGGCTGAGGCAGGAGGATCTCAGGTTTGAGGGCTGAGCAACTGAGCAAGACCCTCAAAGTAAAAACAAAAGGACTGAGGATGTAGCTCAGTTGTAAAGTGCCCCTGGGTTCAATCCCTGGTACTAAAATAAATAGATAGATAGATAGATAGATAGATAGATAGATAGATAGATAGATAGAACTGGGGATGCTCTGTGTAGAGCATTTGCCTAGCCAAATGCAAAATCCTGGATTCAATTCCTAGTGCTGAGGTGGGGGAAATAGACCAAGTCAGACAAGGGGAGAAATCTAATACTCCATGAGCTTTCTTTATGTTAGATCCTGAACCCATTCAGAAAGCAGAAGAGCATTATAACAAAGAATATGAATTCTGTGCTAAGGCAGACTAGGGTCTGAGGTCAGCTCCATTACTGACTGACTGCATTTATAGACAATTCTCTTGAGTCTCAGTTTCTTCATCTTTAACATTTAAATAATAATAGTTCTTTTCTCCTAGTTATTATCTCCTGTTATGCATAAGGTACTTAGGAATGTTCCTTATCCATTATAATCAGTGTATAGAGATTATTATTATTTATTAAAGTAATGCTAAGGTGAAATAGCTAAGTAATTCCAAACCACTTTTTTTAAAAAAACTTCAGACCTAAGTAGGAAATTTTTACTTACATGGTTGTAGTTGGTTGGATCTAATACTACTACATTCACCCCCTTTTCACTTTGCTAATTGGTGAAATGTCTTTATTGATTATTTAAGTGGAGCAAAGAAAATGTTCTTTGAAAGCTCAGGCAAATTGAGTGTTTGTTTTGTAAGTTAGAGGAAACAAATTGGGAAACAAAACAAGATAACAACTTACTATGCTAGTTGGGATTCTTAAGTTTTCACATCGTTTGACATGCTGTTGGAAGCATACTTGGCAGAAGCTATTACATTATAGCTGGTTCAAGGAAAGCACACATAGATGTAAATATCTGAGCTTGGGCACAGACTGGGAGATTTAAACAATAGAAATGTATTTCACAGTTCTGGAAGCTAGGAATCCAAGATCAAGGATTCAACAGGGTTGGTTTCTTCTGAGGGCTGTGAGAGAGAATCAGTTCCCTGCCTATCCCCTAGTTTCTCATGATTTGCTGGGAATCTTACAACTGTGGCTTGTAGAAGCATCATTTTGACCTCTGTCTTCATCTTCACATAACATTCTCCTTGTGCCAGCATCTGTGTCCAATTTCCCCTGTTTTATAAGGACACCAGTTGTATTGAATTAGGGGCCCACCCTACTCTGGTATGACTTCATCTTAACTAATTTCATCTGTGATGACCCTATTTCCAAATAAGGTCACATTCTGAGACACTGGGAGTTAGCACTTCCATATATGAATTGGGGGGTGGGGCAGGGAGGTGGGCACAATAAAACCAATAATACTTAAGGACATCTTGGCTAGGCTCATGACCTTAAATGTTTACAGATTTAAGGATTTGTATGTTTCTTCCTGTGGCCACATTGAGCATCAATGTCCATGAACTCTTCTCCATTTTTCTCAAAATTCACTAGTTTACTTCCCAAAGCTTTTAAACTGCTCATCAGTCCTGTGATGACCATATACTAGTGGTAGTGTGCTCTTCTGTTTAATCCCCATTATTGCAATTAAAAAAATTGGTCTGGTCAACTTTTGTTTAGTGACATATGGACATAATTTTGAGTATGTAAGTTCATTTCTAAGAAGATCAACTGAGTTTGTTGTTGTTGTTGTTGTTTGCTTGTATTTGTTTTTGTTTTGAGACAGAGCCTAAGATGCCTAGGCTGGCCTCAAACTTGTGATCCTCCTGCCTCAGCCTGCTGAGTAGCTGGGATTACAAGTGTGTACTTAGGGGTCCATACTAAGTTTTTTTTTTTTTATATTTTTTGTTGTAAATGGACATAATACCTTTACTTTCATTTATTTTTATATGGTGCTGAGGCTCAAACCCAGTGCCTCATACACACTAGGCAAGCACTCCACCACTGAGCCACAACCCAGCCCTTTAAGTTTTTTTTTTTTTTTTTTTAGATGGACACAATATATTTTATTCCTATGTGGTGCTGAGGATGGAACCCAGTGCCTTATGCATGCAAGGCGAGCACACTACCACTGAGCCACAACTCCAGCCCCCACACTAAGTTTTATAAGAAGTATTTTTACCTCATAAAGTGACAAACCATTGCTCCTGTTGTAGCCTAGTCTTGTAATACCAGATTTGGGGGACCCCGAAAGACCATCAGGAGCTGAATCCAATGCAAACACACAAGAGTCTTTATTGCAAGCTCGAGCCTGGACTTACAACCATTTCCGACACAGAGGTCCTGAGGAGTGAGCCCTGATCTTTTGTTCAGTGAGATTTTATAGGTTTTTAGGAATACTCTGTGTGTCACAACATCACACAGCAAATCATTCCATACTGCTGGAAAATCAAACAACAACTCTTAACATTGATTAGCACATTCATTGGCGGGAACAAGTTGGATAAGGGTGATTGGTGAGTTCAAAAGGCGTGGATACATTTGAACTGATTGGTTTAAGCCACAAGGGGTTGCAAGGGTGTACGTGCTAAACCACACAGTTTCCTAACATGTTATCAATTCCCGAGACTAGGGGTGGGGTCACCTGGCCTTCCAGGTATCTTCCCTGTCTCACGCTGATTAGTTGATGTTAGGGAGTTGCTTGGGTCATCACGGTCAGGCCTTAGGCCTCAAAAATTCTTTGGTCTTTCCAGGAACTAGTTTGCTGAGTCAGGGACATCTGGCGCCTCAGACCTCTCCTGTTTTTTACAGACAAATAACTCAGCAGGGTAGCTTGTACCTAGGAATGCTCTGTGGGTTTTCCAAGAACAAGGGTCATCCCCCCTTTGGACAGGCCCTGCTCTGAGGTAGAGGCTGGTTTTCCCAAAATGGAGTCACATCAGTTTCTCAGTCTCTTTTGACTGCAAGGAAAAGAGATGCACCCATGATAGCTTAAGAAAAGGTGAGCACTCCAAAACAGACATGAAGACCGATGGAACAGAATAGAAGACAGAGACAAATGCACATAATACATTTATCTCATACTAGACAAAGGCACCGTAAACATACACTGGAGAAAAGATAACCTCCTCAACAAATAGTGCTGGGAAAACTGGAAATCCATAATATCCTATGAAATTTAATCCCTATCTCTCACCCTACACAAAAACTCAGCTCAAAGTGGATCAAGGACCCAGGCATTATACCAGACACCCTGAAGCTACTAGAAGAAAGTGTAGGCCCAGCTTTCTATTGTATTGGCTTAGCAACCAACTTTCTCAACAAGATTCTTGAAGTACAAGAAGTAAAATCAAGAATCAATAAATGGGATGGTATCAAACTAAAAAGTTTCTTCACAGCAAAGGAAACAATCAAGAACGTGAAGAGAGAGCCTATAGAACAGGAGAAAAATCTTTGCCATCTACACCTCAGATAGATCATTAATCTCCAGGATATATAAAGAACTCAAGGGGCCAGAGTCTTAGAACCCAGGGCCTGCAGGGGTTGCCGTGGCCACTGCAATGCAGAAATATGAGAAACTGGAGAAGATTGGGGAAGGGCACCTATGGAACTGTATTCAAGGTCTCAAACCGGGAGACCCATGAGATTGTGGCTCTGAAATGGATGAGGCTGGATGATGATGATGAGGGTGTGCCGAGTTCTGCCTACTGAGGGAGATCTGCCTCCTCAAGGAGCTGAAGCACAAGAACATCGTCAGGCTTCGTTCTGCATAGTGACAAGAAGCTGACTTTGGTTTTTGAGTTCTGTGATCAGGACCTGAAGAAGTATTTTGACAACTGCAATGGTGACCTCGATCCTGAGATTCTGAAGTCATTCCTTTTCCAGCTGCTGAAAGGCCTGGGATTCTGTCATAGCTGCAACGTGTTTCACAGGGACTGAAGCCCCAGAACCTCTTCATAAACAGGAATGAGGAGCTGAAGTTGGCTGATTTTGGTTTGGCTCAAGCCTTTGGGATCCCAGTCCGCTGTTACTCTGCTGGAGGTGGTGACATTGTGGTACTGTCCACCGGATGACCTCTTTGGGGCCAAACTGTACTCCACGTCCATCGACATGTGGTCAGCTGGCTGCATCTTTGCAGAGCTGGCCAATGCTGGGCAACCTCTTTTCCTTGGCAATGATGAGGATGACCAGCTGAAGAAGATTTTCCGGCTGCTGGGGACACCAACTGAGGAGCAGTGGCCCGCTATGACTAAGCTGCCAGACTACAAGCCCTACCCAATGTACCCCACCACAACATCCCTGGTGAATGCCGTGCCCAAGCTCAATGCCACAGGGACCTGTTGCAGAATCTCCTGAAGTGTAACCCTGTCCAATGTGTCTCAGCGGAGGAGGCCCTGCAGCACTCCTACTTCTCTGACTTCTGTCCCCCCCTAGGCTCTGGGACCCCTGGATGCCAGGCCCTCTCCTGGCCTATTTAAGACCCCTCGTGGGAGGGGTGGAAAGGGGGGTGCTGAGCTCCAGCTGTGCTGGGCCTGGCCAGGGTCAAGGGGTCTTCACTCCCCCCATGGACTTTATTTAATTTCATAAATTGGCTCCTTTCCCACAGTCTGCTGATATAGTGGTGGGGTAGTTCTGAAGGGGGTGCTGGGGGATCCCTGCTCCACTTTTACCACCCTCTGCAGCCCCTCATCCAGCTCAGGCATGCCCAACTCTCTGCTACTCTAAGTGGCTTTGAGACTACAGGATCATGAGGCCTTGACCCTTGATCCCACTCCTCCCTGCTGGGCTCAAGGCAGTGTTGGCCCTGCACTTATACACACCCCATCCTCCCTCTGTCCAGGAAAGCCAGACATAGTCCCCAGGGATTAAGCAGCTAGCATCTGAGATCAAAGATGTCTTTCACCAGAATGAGGAGAAAAGGCATGGGTCTCTCCTTGTGGCCCTCCACATCCCCCATGGACCTTTCCCTCTTCAACACCCCATATCCAAGCCTGCAGGCTGGGATAGGAGAGACCCAAAGGTATGGTTCTATGAGGAACACTTCCTCTCCCACTTCCTTCTCTGCCAATTTTCCAATGGTTAGGGGTGCAGCAAAAGCAAGAAATGGGCCTGAGGCCGGGCCTGGTGTGTCCTTCCTGGCAGGAGGAGGAAGGGAGCCTGCTCTCAGCTTCATCATTTCCAGCTGAGGCTGCCTTCTCCTGTCGGGAGCTGAGGAAGCAAGAACTGCTCCCATGGAGACAGGCTGTGTGCCATGCTTGGTCCCAAATGTGAGAAAAATCATGGCCTTCAAAGGCAGGACATCAGCTTGTGTTCTTAGAAGTGGAAGAACCCTTCTGTCATCCCCATTCCTCCTCACCACTTCTTGCTGGGCTCTGGGTGAGAGTCTTCTTGCAGCTGTACCCAGTCAGTAGCTACTGACGGAGCCTCCTCTAGGCCATCACACCTGAACTCTAGGTTTGGGAGAGACCTGTCCTCTGATGTCTTCCGATAAACTCATTCACACTGAGGAAAAAAAATTTTTAAAAAGCCTCAAAAAACACCATCAAAAAAAAAAAAAAAAACTAAATAAATAAATGGGCAAAGGAAGTGAATAGGCATTTCACAGAAGAAGAAATACAATGGTCACTAATATATGATATGAAAAAAAATGTTCAACATCTCTAGCAATTAGAGAAATGCAAATTAAAACTGCACTGAGGGGCTGGGGTTGTAGCTCAGTGGTAGAGTGCTTACCTAGCATGTGTGAGACACTGGGTTCAATCCTTAGCACCACATACAAATAAATAAATAAAACAAAGATATTGGGGGCTGGGGTTGTGGCTCAGTGGTAGAGTGCTCCCCCAGCATGCATAAGGCACTGGGTTCAATCCTTAGCACTACATAAAAATAAAATAAAGATGTTGTGTCCACTTAAAACTAAATAAATGTTAAAAAATCACAAAGATACTATGTCCATCTACAACTAAAATAATTAATTAATTAATTAATTTTAAAAAAAAAGCAAACTACCACTGAGATTCCATCTTACTCGAGTCAGAATGCCAACAATTAAGAAAATAAGTAACAGGGCTGGAGTTGTAGCTCAGTAGTAGAGTATTTGCCTAGCATGTGTGAGACATTGGGTTGGATCTTCAGAACCACATAAAAACAAATAAATAAAATAAAGATGTCCATCTATTTTTTTTTAGTTGTAGTTGGACACAATACCTTTATTTCACTTATTTATTTTTATGTGGTGCTGAAGATTGAACCCAGGGTCTCACACATGCGAGGCGAACAATCTATTGCTGAGCCACAACCCCAGCCCTAATTTTTTTTTTTTAAACAAAACAAGTAAGAATAAATATTGGCAAGGATGTGGGGGAAAAATGTATACTCATACATTGCTGGTGGGACTACAAATTGGTGCAACCACTCTGGAAAGCAGTATGGAGATTCCTCTGAAAACTTGGAAAGGAACCACCATTTAACCCAATTATCCTACTCCTGAGTATATATCCAAAGAACTTAAAATCAGCATACTACAGTGACACAGTCACATCAATGTTTATAACAGGTCAATTCATAATATCTAAGCTGTGGAACCAATCCTTCAACAGATGAATGGATACAGGAAACGTGGTATATATACACATGGAAAATTACTCAGCCCTGAAAAAGAATGACTTTATGATTTTTTGCTAATAAATGGATGGATTTGGAGACTATCATGCTAAGTGAACTAAGCTAATCCCAAAACACCAAAGGCTGAATGTTCTTTCTGATATCTGGATGCTAACATACAATAAAGGGGTGGGGTAGAAGTTCAGTGGATTAGATAAAGAGGAATGGAGGGAAGGGAGGGGTGATGGTAATAGGAAAAACAGTAGAATAAATTGGACATAATTTTCCTATGTTCACATATGAATACAGGACCAGTGAACCTCCATCCACATCATGTACAACTACAAGAATGGGATCCTAATTAGAATAAGTTATACTCCATGTAAGTATAATATGTCAAAATACACTCTACTCATGTATATCTAAAAGGAACACAAAAGAAAAGAAAAGAAAAGAAAAGGTGAGCACTACTGGGGGGTTAAAGAATATTTAGACCCTAAGGACAAGAAGTTAGCATAGGTACACTTCTTGGAAGTGACAGATCAACAAAAACAGGTACATTTCCATGATTTTCACAAGAACCAAAGCTAAACGGTCTTATTTGTATTTCACTCTGCACCTTTCTTCAGTATATCACTTTCTTCAGTTTTCCATCAACTATACCCACCAAAATGGTGAATATAGTTCTGGTGTCTAATTAACTCTCTACAATTGACTTGTTAGTTCTCAGAAGAGGAATCTGGTTTGTCCAGCTTAGACTAAGCATTCACTCTTGGTCCAATCAATAGTGGTCAGGGGACAGGGCCATACAGTACAAACATGGCTATCCAGGTCTGATTTTTGGCATCGACTGTGGATGAGAACAGTTCCTGGAGAAGTGGACCATGGCTGACAAAGCAAAGCATCTATCCGAGTTCTAAAGACTATATTGATCTAGTTTACTACAGTCCATATTTTGTTCCCAAATATTAGCTGCTGGACAGGCTTGTTAATAATTTGAATAAGAGACATTATTTCTTAAGTTCTCACCCTACTATCTAATTTAATCTTCCCCCAAACCCTGTCAGGAAAACATTTTTATTCCTGCCTTATAGATGAGGAACTTCAGGCTCAAAAAGGTTGAGAATTAAAGTCAGCAGTGAGTTTGGTATTGGAACCTGGGTCTGTTTCCCCCAATCCTGTGTTTTTAATTCCTAAAAGTGGGAGACTTATGCCACTGTGGTAAAGAAGAGTTTTCAGATGGGCATGGTGACACATTCCTGTAATCAGGCCTCCTCATAGGCAGTTTCTGGAGCTTCACAGACTCTAGTCTTCTGGTTCTCTAGAGGAATTGGGGATTGCATGGGTTAAGAAGCTCCTCTCCCCAACTCCCAACCAGCCTATGCACCTTCCCCCAGCAAACTAAATCCTCTGGAGCCCCTTTGTAGGGAATAGGAGTTGATACCCCCCAGGTTCAAAAAGAAAAGCACAACAAGAATTTCTGGTTCAGGGAGAGAAGTACCTCTTTTACACTTGGCTTCTTTTCCATTAAGAGTGAAAGTTACAATACAATCAGCAGGAAATTGCCCTGGGGACCATTGAGCAGACCTCTTTGCTCAAATCAGGCCTTGAATGCATGTGTCAAAAGCACCTCACACTCTCGTTAATTGCCAGCCCAGTCTCTGGGGACAGTCCAATTGATTCAGTCAGATCTAACATTCACTGCATACATCTTCTGTGTATTTAACTGCCAGGCCAGCCATCCGATTATGACTTCACATTCATAGGTCCAATGGGCAAGATGAATCTGCACCGTGATAAGGAGAATACTAAAGAATGAAAGACAAAGCTGCTGTCCTACACATTCCAGAATTACCTATCTGAGAAGACTGAGGCACTAAAAATCCTCAGGACTTAAAGGAGTAGAGGAAGAAATGATGATTGAACAGCTACCACATGTAGGTGTTAAATGTACATTAGCTCATGAAATCTTCTTCATCGCAACTCTACCAGGTAGATGCTATTAATACTTACATTTACAGGGGTAAACAATATTTTAGCTTTAGAAAGTAGAATTTTAAAACATAATAATAATTATGAATAGGTTGTACATGTGGGTCTTTTTTTTTTTTGGTACTGGGAATTGAACTTAGGAGTGCTTAACCACTGAGCCACATCCTCAGCCCTTTTATTTTGCATTTTATTTCGAGACAAGGTCTTGCTAAGTTTCTTAGAATCTCCCTAAGTTGCTGAGGCTGGCCTGGAACTTGCAGTCCTCCTGTCTCAGCTCCCAAGTCACTGGGATCACAGGCATACACCATGATGCCCAGTTGGGTCATTATCTTAGAACAAATTTCTCTCAGAGAAGCTACCTGGGAAGAGCTCTCTGGGTAAGGTTGTTAAGTGGTTATCATTCTCTTATTTATTTGCTTACTGTCATCTTCTATGAGAATTTGGACTTTGTGGTCAGACAGATCTGGACTCAAATCGTGGCTCTATTAGTAATTAGGAAAATGAACTCGCTTTAAGTATTTCAAACAGAGAATCTAATTCAGAGAATTTAACACTGTGGCTACTTAGATGATGGTAAATGTGAGGCAACCCATACATTAGCAAGAGCAGGAAACCAAGTCTGGAGGCCAAACAGTGCTGAGAACTTTTTATCTTCTCCTGCCTGATGGTCCTCAATTTTGTGAAAATGGCTCCAATTGTCATAACATCTGTCATAACAGGGGTGTCACCTGTTATGAAGGAGAGCAGTGGATCTGAGGGTAAACTGGCAAATGATGAGCTTAACTCTTGCTAGTATTGAGTTTCTCCTTTTTCATCTTTCTTTCTTAATTTATTAGTACCTGGGATTGAAATCTGGGCCTTCTTATGCTAGGCAAGTAAGTGC